ATAATTAATATAAATATTTATTTATATTACATAGTTCACCACTCCCTGGTTCTTGGCCAACAGAATTTGTAGCACTTACTGCACTTCTCTATTAGTTGACAGACAGAAAAAAATGTTAAAGCACTCTTCAAAATGGCCTTTTGCAAACCCACTGCACACACCAAATGTACCGCTGGACTCCTGGGCATGCTATAAGGGACAACTCAGCCCCTTGGCTTCAAAAATCAACCCATCGCATCCCCCACACTACTGCAAGCTCTCCTGCCCAATACAATGGCATTGGATGCAGGTACCTACACTAGGCATACATATCTCAGGCTATATGAGGAGTGTACTAGTGCCTTACCTTTTCTTAGCTGTATACTGAGCCTCTTCCCTATCTTTTTGGTGTTATACCCACTGTTTGCAGTGGAGGTGAGAACTTTCTGAGGTGATGGTACCAGGCCCGAGGGTGGTTTCCCTGATGAATTCACACTATGAGGTAGCTGCGAGTAGGAGTCTGTCTGATCGGACTGGTTACCCGCTCGAGACATTCTTTGTAACGTGTGAAGTCCAGAATTGTGAATACTTTTGTTGTCTGCATACTGGGAATCAGGGCTGAACCGGCTGGAGTAGTATGTGTTCTTCTCACTTTGGGATAACTGTTCATACTGCTCTTTATTTGCTGCAGGGACCACGTGGAACCAAATAAAAGGCGTACGCATGGCTTGGCGAAACATATGCTGTGCTCTAGGTTTCAAAATGAACAGAAAATTAGCAAATTAGGACTGGCAGATGACAAGACATTATAAGTATAATTACTAATGTTAATTAAGCAACAGAAGCTGACAGACACATTGCACCCAAGCATAAACCATAAAACTTGAATCTGTTCACTAGTCTACTTGGTCTGCTTTTTGCTAAGGTTTATTGCCTTAGGGCAACACAATGGTTAAATATGCTTAGCAACTAACGTACGAAATACTGGATTCGGAATACCAAAAACGTTAACCACACTCTTGAAATGCAGACAGTTCTATGGCAGGATTGTAGTGTCCTTTTGTTTTGAACCTTGACAATTGCAATAATTGTGACAAAAGTAATCACAATGACAACAGAATTATTAGAATAAAAATTACGCTTTATACAAAGACTATGTATTTCCATAATTTGCTGAGAGTATATGCAGTCTTGCAAAAAGTCTAGTTTACTTTTTGTAAGTTAGCAGTCTTTCAGAATACAACATTAAGAAATAGGAACAAAAACGCTTAATCCTGCACAGACAGACACTGGGCTCTAGGTCATGATCCAAAGTACACAAAGTCAACAAGTCTCTTCACAGACTTAACAAATTGTCATTCAGAACCATAGAACAAGCAGAGACAAGCTGCTTTCAACCATATGGCACAGGGGCGTGTTCCAATCCAGGTTCGAGTCAAAGAAATAGAAAACACATTTCAAATGTATATTAAGTATAGAACGATCAGAATAAATTATATTCCTTCGACCCTTAACACGTTCGGGTTTTCAGAACAATAATATCATCTTTAAAATCATTCATTTTCTGCATACCTCTTTTCTGCTTTCTCTTTCAATTATCTGTGTGTGAACTACAACCTGATTTCACTTTAAAGTCTTTCCGATTCACTGTTTCGGGATTCTACCAAGTCCAGGTGTCCACTGACCAAATATTTATGAACTCTCAAACTTCTCCAGGAAGTTTCTGCATATAGTACCTTTAGTTCTCACATATATAAAAACCACAAATATTTTTAAAATGATAAAAATAAAGTCTCCGTGCTGTCCACTTATATTGAACATGATGCAATGCAAATATAAGATTAAAAGTCATACAGGAATTTCAGGATAAGCAGTTTACCAAAGCAAGAATGAAAAATCCTTAATGTGCAAAAACTATCAAATGAGAAGTGCATATACTCTAATGACAATAATTATCCTGAGTTTTTTGTAGTTTGGCTAATTAAAAACCACTAACGTCCCTTAGTGTGTCTTGTCTTTATTAGAAAGGTAAGCTTAGACAATTTTTTCTTACTTTCCTCAAATTACTGCAAGGTGCAGTGTTAAATAACGCAATGTAACACGTGGTAAGTACACTTACTGTTCAAACCTCCTATTCCGAAGGTCTCCATCGTTAATCCTGACAATACAATCATTCTCACGAAAAAGGTTTTCTTGTTCAGCTTTTCCACCCTTCTCCAATCGCTTTACCAGCAGCCCCAGGGTTCTGGAACATTAAGATTACAAATGATTACTGTTTGAACAATTTGCAGCATAGAAAATCCTACTGATTTAGTATTTTATCATCATCACTATAGAAACTAAATTTTAAACCATTTTTACCTTGAAGTAGGATATCATAGTTTCAAATAATTTATAAACATTACCTGAATTATCACCCCTTATCCACGAAACAAAAAGCTTAGGTGAATCAAGTATGTAATTTAAAAGTAAGAATGAACAGGCAGTGGGATGATAGCATGTCCATTCTTGCAAAAGGTCTAGATTTCTGAGCAGTAAAAGCTCCAAGAAGTACCATACATCTGAGAGCCGGCATCTTTTCTGCTAGTTAACTGAAGTAAAACAGGTTCAACTTAAAATTTGAATTTCTGAATTAGCAGAGAATATCACAGCCATCACTACCGCTTCTGTGCAAGTGAAACATGGGGTCATCTCATGTAATAAGCAGCCTATAATGAAGGGATGGATAGAGGATTCAGGAACTTCACATGAACCAAATGCTTTTATTTTTAAACCTTAACTTTTTTTTACTACGCAGTAAAGAGGACATTAAAAACTTAAACTTCATTTCTAATTCAGCATATTATCTTAAATTAATTGGTTCAGTAAGGACTGAAGACAATTACCATTTGATAGCCTCTGTGCAACGAGTTGGTCACCTCTGTCTAGCGCTTACCCACAGTGTCGTCTTAAGGACATTCTTAGAGAGAAAAGGCAAACAAATATTCAACCTGAAATTATGAAACGGATCCTGAAGAGTGGATTTCTGAGGTACTAGGAGGATGGTGTGAAGAGTCTATGATGTCTCTATACCTGAACTCTAGGTTTGAAGGAGGAGTCAACCTTCAGGATTATTCTTGCATCAACACTGCACTTGATTTTTTTAAAGAAGATCAACTTTATATTGAAATCCCACAGGATGTATCAAGTGGGACAAACTGACATCATCCAAGTCAAGAGCATTACTTTTTCAGAAGTCATTTAAAGGCATGGTGTGAAAAATACTCGGTGGCGTGGCAGGAATTGCAAGACCACATATGTTTTTCAGGACAAAACTTTCAGTGATCATAGCACTTCAGTTCACACATACCTCAAAGTAAATGATCAGTCAACGATGCTTAAAAGGACTCCTCATGCACTCAAAAGTTATATATGCACTTGAGCACTTCATCAAATGGGTCAGAAAAAGGAAAAATTAACTTATTTCTTCCACTTTTAATTCTTCATTTACCAATTTATCATCAACATACACAAATATGACATTTATTTTACGGAATAGTCATACGTTTTCTCCTACAAGGCAGACGAAGGAGTAAGAGAAACGATCCTAGTAGTATTTCCATTTTGGAACCACCTAGAGACATCAAGATATGATATTGAAAGGATCTATACATGAAAACAGACTATGAGGAGAAAAACAACATAAAGCATTTTGACAACACAAATCATCAGATGAAGTTTGAGTCAGACATTAACATTTAAGTGATACTATTCCGTTTCCAACTGATACAGAGTATTTTGCAGACACCTAACATACTGCACCTTTGACCTGTCCAGGGGTCCCATCAGAGGGAAACCTTCTCCACCCTCATTTGGTTCCCAATGGACCATTTGGGTGCAGTCATTGATGCTAACTGTGATTGGGCTTGACTTTAGCTCAGCTGCTGCAATTAGGAATCTGTCTCTGCAGTAACACCAGTGAGCACAAGGGCAAGAAAGATTCCATAAAACTAAAGTTTCATTTCTCTAGAATACATGCATTTCAGGGGAGGGGAAAAAAAAAAAAACAACACAAAAAAAACCCAAACCACAAAAACAAACAAAAAAAAACCCTTGAAAAGCACAACCAATACTAGTGTGTATCTAGTCCTATCGCTCCCCATTCCAAGTTGATATTCTTTGAGTTTGGAAAGTTCCACCTTTTGTAGATTCCTTCCAACAACCCAGCATCTCCCATTAAAAAGAAAAAAGAAAGGAAAAAAAAAAAAGGCAAAACCAATTTTCCCACTTTTCCCAAGGCAAAAACAATTCTTCCACTGTATTTTTCTTTCTGATCACCATAGTAGTAAAATACCTTGTATTATCTAGATACTTTAGGTGTTTTTCTCTTTGCCTTTCCCACAATCCTCTAATAGCTTGCATGGCAAAAAAATTCTATAAAGTCCATAACAATCAAACACTAACTTAATGCCCACGTTGTGCTCCATTTATTGTACTAAAACGTGCTGATAATTATGAAGGTATGTCATCATGGGAAGTAAAACAAAAGAAACTTTAAAAATACTGATTCAATCCCTTTTTTCCTTCTGTTCATTACAATAAGCTTTGAACACAGTCTCAGATTTTTAAAACTGATAATTACCAAAAAAAATAAATTTATAGATTGTTTGTCAGTTGCTAAAAGCACTACAATAACAGTCATGAATGTTAAGAATAAAAAGGAAAAAGACTTGTATGCCTTTACCACATTTTATAGTTTTGATATATATAAACCTGATGGTTAGAAAATAAGTTTGTGACTTTTTCACTTCTGAGTTGTTGAATTTCTCTGGCGAGACAATGTCTTACTGAAGAGCATATCTCTAAATGGGGAAGAGAGAAGCAAGCAAATATAAAATTGGGAATGCAACATTTAAGGGAAAACCACCAAAATATTTGAGGGGAAGAGGAAAGAATTGTATCTACTCTTCCTCTTCTTTCACTTCATGCCCAACAGCCCTTTGATACAGGTGTGCTCCTCCATAATGCCCTAAGACAATTCAGAATATGGATGTGCGTGCAACACCTGCACAACAGCATACACAGTAACTGCAACAGGTGTTTTGTTTATATGGTTAAATATAAAAAATATCAAAATATCAATATGCTAAATGTAAAACATACTCTACCAAAGTACAACACTCCGAGTTAATACTATGATAATACACTATACAAAATAATATTATTTCATCGCAATGTCTCCATGTACTTATGATTACAAAGTAATTGGTCTATTAATGGTTTTTGCATAGCATTTATCTTGAAACACTGCTTTCTACTGTTTCGGATTCTGAAGTTATATTAAATTATTAATGTAAGATGCACCTTTATGCATGGTTTATCATTTCTTAAATTTACTTCACCTAAGCTCTCAAATCTAGTAAAAATATTACTAATCCTAACCAACAGTAAAATAATGTAACACATAAATAAACTACCAGTCAGAATTGCAAATAATCTCATTAAACAAAGGCTACAAGTTCTACTAATGCAAGATTGCTCATCTCAGACACAACATATGGTGCTCTTGAGGATTTTGCTTTTTAACAAATGTTAGAGCTAGGTTAACCAAGGCATATAAAGCTAAAGTTATTGAGAACAGACTCAAGGCTGGATGAACAGACCGAGTCAAATTTAGAACCAGGATCCTCACAGGGCCTTTTAATTTATTTAATTTTTTTATATAGACACATGGGGCAGAAGATCATTTTCGACCCAGTTCCAGAAACAATTTCTGGAACATGGTGCTGCAGAGCAAACTCTCCTAGAACTTGCAAAAAATGTATGTTCCCGAAAATTTTAGTAACAAAAGCCTATCAAATTCCAGCGGTATTTCTTCAGCTTATTATGGTTAGATATAAGAATATGACTCTAAAAAAAAGGCATTATGGGAATTCATGTTTGTTGTTGCAGTAACTGGAGATAAACAGAGTAGACTTGATACTGCAAATACACAATAACCTAAAAACTAATTGGATGTTTTTTCCCTGTCGTATGCCACCACCATTAATCCCGGTCAGTGGAGATGTAGCTCTACTACAGTTTCAATATTACATTTCCTACATTAGGAAAACATAAATTTTGAAAGCCTGTAAATTAATCTAGTATAAAATACAAAATCCAGTATATTTATTTGTTTAAACACAACCATGTAGCATACAAATATATGGGTGCATTTGAATTTGCTTAATCTTGTCCAGTAAGTCAACACATTTTCTAACATAAATTCTTCCATTATAAACATTTTAAACTATACCTTCTTCAAGAATGAGATTAAATATTGTGTGATCCTCTGCAAAACAATCTGCAAGTCTACAACCCTGTCGAAACAATAACTATAAATGGAAATTTGGTACCTGCACTGTTTTAGACTAACATTAGCTGGCATGCGGACAAAAGGGAAACTATCAAAGCAGAGCTCAATCTTTGTATTTGTTTGAAATACCTAATTGGGAATGTAAACATCTTAGATTATATTAGCATTTGCACCACTGTATTTCCACAAGGTTCATTACTCTAATTATACAATTAAAATAAACTCAGCTACATGTGTTAACATTTCAGTTCTCAGTATAAATTACAACCAATGATAAAACTAGAAATAAGCAGCGACTGTTTTATTGACATCTAAATTGTCTGAGTTAGTCTGGCTAGTTTTTTGAAATTGTGAACTCCCCACATGACATCCAACTTTATGGAAATGATGATAATTTGTCATAATAAAAACTGACAGTGTAAATACTATGAGAGTAATAAAAATATTACACTGAGCATCTAGAATATGATTCGGCCATCACCACCCATTGTACGTACACACTGAAGTTATTTACCTATTACCTGCAAGCTAACCGTAATATAATCAAATCAGACAGAACAGAAAATAACCAATTTAGATGTTTATGTAAAGTCACTAACATGAGAAGGCAAAAACTAGATTAAGGGGCAAAAATAAGGATTGATTGAAAAGCCAATGTGCAGTAGTTTCATGCAATGAAAAATCTCTGAGAAGTTCTAGAGGAACATAAACACAGTATAAATTTCCTGAGATTCGAAGGTCAGAGTAGGCAAATTTGTTTGTTTGTTCAAGTTAAATTATCATGGCTGCTCAATGCTAAATTGGACATAAACTCCTTTGCACAACATTGACGTCACAGTGCTACTGCGGAGACACTAAAATAACTTTATCATCTTTCATGCCTGAAGTCCGGAACCAATTTCCAATCTTTGGTTACTACTCCTCAGCTTTTCAGCTTGAATAATACTTCAAATTAAGTTTATATAACTTTTTAAAGGTTGAGATCAGACAAATAAAGCCTTGAATTCAGCTAAAAGAGTAAGGGAATTCACACCACAGGGAATCTTTTCTCAATGCATATGTTTTTGAAAACCATGGCTACCTTTGAGACTTAAAAGGTTGCAAATGCAGGAGAGGAATAAATGGAGATGCAGATAACACATACCTCTTAGATGATCAAACAGAATATGATCATTAGAGAGGCACCTTGAAGGTGGTATTAAGGGCTCTCACTATACACAATGGCCATTAGATATTACTTTAGTTTTCTTTGTATCTTGAGTAAAAGATTGAAACTTTTACAGTGAAATATGAAGTGACTTATAAACTCTAGAAAATGAAGGGCACTTCCACTAAAAGCAAAAACATTTTATGAACTACAGCACAGAAAAACATATAAACAAATTTCTAGTGCAGGGATTGTGTATACATCAATGCCTACCTTCATTTAGGGTTTTCCATTTTTTTAATAAAATCTGTTGCATTTCTCATTCAAACTGACAAAAAGCAACAAAATTCAGTCTCTTACTTTTCCCATTCTTCTGAGACTTCCTTAATATTTGTAAGACATTTAGGATATAGAACATAAGAACACAGATTAAATATTTTTAGCTGCAGGTTTTAGCTGTACGGTTTATCATGGATTTTGTGGCATGCTTCAATAGGAAGAACAGCTGGCAGAGCCCTACATACTGCTCTGCATCAAAGTAATATGCCTGATACTTATTAATGAATGGTCTTCACGGGGTTTTCAGATGAATACCCACATCCTTTTCTGTTCTGTTTTACTAAGTAGACTTCACAGTAGACTTGGGACTATGGGACTATAACTTCCATATTACTATTCACAGAGATTTCTGATGTTATTTCATATATTCCTTGTGTCAGTTGAATATCCTTCCAAAGACTTCAAAAGAGCAGCTAGTGTATAGAGCTTGAGAAGATTTTAAAGACTCTGCAAAGTAGAAGAGGCCATATAATGGTAAATTATGCTATAATTACTATTAAACTTGCAGAGGAGAACTAGATGCAATCCCATTTATGCATCAACATAACATCTCCCATCAGCTAGGATTGCTCAAATGCTTTTCTTAAGGGACTGAGTACTTGTTCTCCTCTCAGAGCACCTAATAAGAAGGAAGGATTGGTGCTAAAGGCAATTTTGCACAGATTTAGAATTTTCTTTCCTTTTATGCTTTCCTCTCATTCATTTTCTCTTTGCTCTACTTGTCTAAACACTTTCCTGTTCACTTTCTATTCTGTCCTTCTTTCTGCTTTCATTTTCATGCCTCCTATTCTGCTTAGCATTGCATCTATGCCATTGCAAATATGCAAGCAGGTTTTGCAAATAAAACTTTTATCTTGAAAAACTTCACAACCGTAAGGTGACGAATATGTATACCCCTCCTCCCTTTTGATACGGTGAATAAACTTTGTTACTCAAAGCATATGATCAAAAAGGCCAATAAAGGACTGATAAACTTTAAGAGGTAAAAACAGAAGGATAATAAGGAAACATATCCAGAGAGGAATGTTTGACCATGTCTTTACAAATCAATAGTATTTTTTCCAGAGAATTACGAAGAGTTGTTTTTGTTTGGTTTTGTTTTTTTGGGGTTTTTTTCATCAAAAAGAAGTCTCAGTTTTATTAGGAACAGAAATAATTAGTAGCACCTATATAGATGATGCAGAGATCTTTACAGATTTTGTTCAAGATGAAAAGCCAATATTGAAGACAGATTCTTACTCCAAACCCAAATCCTCAAAAGATGGTGAAAAAGTCAAATATTTCCTTAATATAAATAAAGGACATAGTTATGGCATATAATTTTTTAGAGGTTTCAGGTGTTTGCTTTGGAGGAAAGGGGATTTTTTGGTGGAAGAAGGCCCCTGCTTATTGCATAGGGTAAAAAAGGGAGAATTGCATTAGTATGTTTTTATACTTTTTCACTTTTTAAAATTATTGATTTAATAACCATTGTCTATTGAGTAACATTTTCAAAAGCAAAAGAAAGGAACTGGAAGAAAAACAATTGAAAACACAGCATAGCTGGAATTGAACACCAGGCAAATATAAAACAATGGTGGGCCAATGGACTAAGCTATATGATACATCAGATCTTTCCTTTTTGGACATCCCTCAAAGTCTTCGCTGAGTCCTGTGTTTGGTTTTGTATATTTAGGTTTCTACTGAGCAGATCCCCTGCTCAAGTAGTTAGTTCACTGTAGCATGGAGCAGTATGCTTTGCAGCCAGAGGAGGAACAAAGAGCAGCCATGTGCTAGAGTGAGAAACAAGTAGGCAGAAGAGAATCCCTGCCAAGCATCTGCCCTCCCTCTGATTCTAGCAAAAGGAGACCTAAGTGTATCTTATCTGCTCAAAAGAGCTAAGGGACCAGGAGAGGGGGAAGAAAAAGAAAAAAAAAAAAAAAAAAAAAAAATCCAAAAAAAAAAAACCCAAAAAAGAAACCAAAAATCCCCACCAAGTGCTCCAAAACTGAAGTTGGGTGCATTCCTTTCCCTGCCCACACTGCAGGCTGCAGGCACCTGGAGAAAATGTCTTTGTTCTCACTGAAAGCATGTAAAGGTGTGAGCACATTTGACAGTAAAGCAGCCCTACAAGTGCTTGTAATCAATACCAAGCAACGAACTCTTACTTTTCTCCCATGCAGAGAACATGGGAGAAACGTTTTGGGAATATCCAAGGTCCTCTCCAACTCTGCTCCTCCACACTTTCAAGATATGGACACAAGTACCTCTCCTCTCCAGCAGATTATTGGGGGGGGGGGGGGGGGGGGGGGGGCGAAAAAACTCAGACAGCAATTGCACATACCATCCATTTTTCAATGAGAGGAGTTCTAGTATTGTGAAGAAAAAGTAGGTCAAATTTAAAACAAAACTTATTTCCTTTGTAACAGAATTTGTTTTTCAAGTATGTCCTCATTCTAAACATCTGTATTTAAAATCATCTTTCCTGTAATAAAACTTTATCAAATAATCCCAAACTCAGGACAAAAGAAAGAGAGTTAAAAGTCCTACACAGCTCTTGACATAGCTAGCACCCTTAAAAAAAAAAACGAGGTATTTTATTTCTGTGTTTATGGCTTTATTTTACATGCTCTCATTATGTATAAACAGTTTAAGCTTTGTCTCAGACTTGACAACCACATTAACATCCTGGAAGTGAATTTTACTTGAGTTAAAATTCTTATTCAAAATGTCAAAATACACATTTCTAATATCAATTTTATTAAACAAGTACTTAGTAGGCAGCCAACATTCTTAAATCTCTTCTTTTTCTTGGCCTTCACACTGTCTAAACCCCAGATAACCGTGTGAACATTTCAACGATTTCCAACTTTATGGGATGTACTTCTGAGCTTATGTTTGAAGTACCATTCACTCATGCCCTTTCCATCCCCACACTGAATTTACTAAATTTCAGATTACGAAGACAACAGTTTACCACTTTAGAGAAGTTTGTTCTTCATACTTGTAGTCCTTAGAAAAAGTAGCCTCAAATTTAAAAAAAAATAACATTTTCTCATAATACATGTCAGTATGCCTATGAAAGCATTGGGTTTAACATAACAACTGCAAATAAAGCTCTTATACTGTGTTTAAAATCCTGTGAAGGTATTTGGTATAGAAGGAAAAATACATTTATTATTTCTGAAAAGAGGGTATTAATATTTAAGATCTATATATAGATGTATAGCAAGTTAGTGTTGCTCTTCATCACTAAACAGAAATGGTTGCTGGTTCGACAGACATGTGAGAACATAACACCCCATGTGTAATCACAGATTATTTTTTAAAATATGTATTTGTTCCCCTTTTCCTTAAAGAGGGAAAATACAGTGTATACTTAGAATACGTATCACCAAAATAAAATTTCCATATATTCCTGAAGAACTATCATTTTTCAACACACTTAAAAGCTTCAAATCCACCACTGATTACTAGAAAAGTTAAGCTATTTTTCTGAGACAATGACCCTAAATGCTAAAACTCTGCTTTAGCAAAATAAGCATCAGAGATGATGCATTCTGCTTACTAATATAATCCCCCACATTGTATTTTTTAATGTAAAGGACTTACTTTACACTTTTTTTGTAAACAATCCAACTTCAGGAGTTCCAGCCTGTCATATAATAAAACATGTTCACCTTCCCCAAAACCAGAATGTTTCAACTGGTTTCGCTATTTCATTTTCACCCCAACAGATGGGACAACACTAAATACCAAAAGTGTGATGACTGTTTTCTCTTGACTTTTATCAAGCGCAGGTGTAGGACACCCCTGGTTTAGACTCCTCCTGTTATTTGGGAACTTGTGGCTCTAAGCAGTCAGCAAGGAAATGTTGCATAAATATCTACCAGAACTAAAGCAGCAGATTATAATTTTTAAGAGTCAAAAAAGAAACGTCTTTACACTTCAATTTCCCATAAGATGACAACAGAATATCTATTAAAACCCGACGGCTCTAACTCCTTTTAAGCAGAGCCTTTCCATTATACAGCCCATTCCGAGTATGGTCAGTAAACTTGCATTTCTTCCTTTCTTAATCAGTGAGGCTGTCTTTTGAAAAACATACAATATTCTACAGAAGGGAAAGGCACACAATACAAAAAATAACACAACTAAGATAAAACACAGCAAGTTACAATTCAATTAAAATCCTACACAATACGTTACCTTCCGCCTCGGGCACTGAAAGGCACTACATGGATTCCCAAAGGCCCGCCGTCATTGGAGACTTCTACGAGCTTTACCATATCACTGTGAGACAATGACGAATGAGGGAATATGAACATGTACTGTGAAGGAATCAAAAAACCCCACACAAACATACACAGAAAACAAAACCATTCCAGAAATCAAGTCATGGTGATGAAAGCATTGTTGAATGCTACATACCTGAAGATTAATCTGATGGCATGAAAGGAGATCAATCATCAAAAATAGTTCAATTAATAAAACAAACAAAAATCAAAGAAATTTTTTGTAAACTTAGCTTGCTACATAAAAATAGGTATCATCATCATCGTATGCATATTATTTTATTTCTTCCTTACTCGAAAGTTAAATTTAAAGTTAACTGTTTGGACCATTGAGTGGAAATACCTTAAATACTACATACAGTTTTTCCTCAGAAGCCTAAAAGCCGATCATAGCACTAGCACACTGTATTTTTTTTATCTTAGAGAGAGCCCACTCTAAGCCTTAACATTAGCTTTCGCATAACTATCCCTTAATCAAATGAGAATTACTAGTTTTTTAATTGGTTAAATTCTTCTAGTTTTAAAAACATTAATTTGGTTTATTGTAATTACTTTCTTTTACTGGAAGATTGCTGTATCTGTATCTCCCTACTAAGCAAAGTTTCCAAAGTAAGATTTAACTACAACATTCAAAGCCAACCAGACGTCCTCCTGAAGCAACTATGCATCTAGTTTTGAATTACACTTTTTGTTGTAGAGAAGGAAAAAGTGACAGAGGAAAGTACAGGCTCAGAAAGAGACATGCAAAAATTCTAGAAATAGATTTGGACTAAATCTACTGATGCATTTGAAACATGCCCACATCTGGAAAGGTGCAATATAGCCCATAAACCATAAAGAGTTATAAATACCCAAATGAGAAAATAATACATGAAGGCCAAACCTCTCAGTAAATCTGGAAGTGAGAGATCTGAATGAAAGCCACAATCTAAATTTGTGGCTTATGCCTCTCTCTAGTATTGCATACTTTTTTCTGTATTTCCTGGCACTACGTATATATACACAGATCTTTGAGAAGCTTGTTTCTCATAAGCGTACAAATCAAATTTAATCAAGAAATGGAGCGAAGAGCAAGACCAATGCCCTATGACAGCAGTAAAAAATTTTCTACTTCCTTCAATAAGCTCTTGATCATATGGTGGCCCTTCACGACAGCTTGCAGTGCTTAATCCAGAGTTTGAGAATAACCAGACCACATACAGTTAGGAAGTCAACAAAAATCCTGTGTTAGAGTTTGTTTTATATTTTTTCCACATTAAATTTTTTAATATATTTTTAAGGTAGTCTTCACGTTTGTTGTACGCCTCAAATTGTGTCTGAGTTTTTAAACTCATTTTTTTAAATAACACAAATGGAAGGCCTCTATCCCTGTTGCCACTGTTCAGCTCAAGAAAAATATTGCAACAACAAGAGAGCTGAGAGACTTCATCCAAAAACGTTTATTCTTCAGACCTCGATCAATGTTTTAAGACTAACAGCATTACAGTATTTGGTAATATTCCCTGTATAGGCTAACTTCATTTCATTCTCACTGTACATTAAGGCTAAGTTTTCATTAACTAGTGTGCAAAACAGCTCATGGGAATCAAGCAACGCCTTTCAGCTCCAAAAGGTACTCTAAAAGACATCTTTTGCTATTGGTATCCCTATGGCTCCCTATGATCAACTTTTTTCCAACTTGCCTATTAGCTTGAAAGAAAATTGAGGGCTGAGGAAGAGAACAAGTAAAAATCAGTATGATTCACCTGGAACTGTCATATGTGAAAATACAGCTTAAATTTAAAAAAAGTCAGCTTTCATATCCAGCCTATGCTGTTTAACTAGTTCTACTGCTTGAGTCAGTAACTTTCCTTTTTTCCAAAATACATATTTAAGGCCTAGGCACTCATTTTTCTTACACTTTTTCTTCAAAAAATCCAGTCCAAATTCAGATGTTAAACTCTGTAAAACAGAAAACAAAAGGAAATGATCCCTTCCTAAGAGAGATTGTTTCAATTTTCCTTCCTGATTTTCTCAGAAGTCCGGGCCAACTACTTCAAACAAACATACAAAGAAGTATGATATCAAAACAGAAAGCAATGAGGTAGCATATGATGAAAAGTCAGTAAGTTACTTAAAAGCAACATCAAGAGCAAACTCTATTCAGCAAACTGCATTTGGAATTTACAATGTAAGAGATGTTGTAAATAGAAGGGAGTAAAACTCAGCATGTACTGCCTAACGGATGTCACCATGATCTTTATCTAAGATTTAAACCCTCTGCACCTAATTCATAATTTAATTCAGAAATAATAGGAGCAGAAGATTTATTTTTATTTAAAATTTAAGTTTAATCAATTTAAAAGGTTTAATTTAAGGGTAGAAAGGATATTTTCTCATTAATTCCATAGTGAGGTATGGATCAGCTCTTTGCAACGAAATGCAAAAGGTCAAGATTGCTGTATCTCATGATGAAATAAAATAACCTTTACTGATTTTTTTTAAATTAGGAGGAGCTTCCCAGTCCTAAACATCAGTTTTGATCCATGTACAAAGTATGAGGTTTTTGACCGCACAACTTATGTGACCCCCACACACTTCCCAGTAGACTGTGAACTAGTGACAGGAATTAAGATTTTTCCCCTTTGAAATTCTTGCCTGTTGATCTATTTGTGCTAGCACTGATCCTATTTCTTCTGTCAAGTTTTCAGAGTTCCATCAAATAAGCATATTCTTTGAGGCAGGAAATCTACTGTAGCATCGGCTCTTACAAATGTCAAGTTTCCAATGCTCATCTTTAACACGGGTTTTTTAAACTGTTTAAAATCTGCTTTAAAAAGGTCCATGAAGCAAATTGTTTAAAACCAGAATGACACATGACCTAAAAAAGACTGCACCACTTTCTAAAGAGTAGTATCACCCATATTATTCCAAGTTTTTTGCTAGCCTACATTCAGTCTCAAGATTTGTTATTAAAACAATGTGTTCTGCCAGTAACTTACTCCAGGGAAAAACTGGTAGCATTCTCCAAACCAGTGTCTGCATGTCCAACAGGTTCAACTCTGCTGTTGTCCTCCTCTGTTCGATCTTCATCCTAGATATTAAAAAAGAGAAAAAAAATAATTTAAATCTAGGTTTAATAGGCTAACTCATTTTAATAATGCCATTTTACCATTTTCAGATTATTGCAGTTACCACATGTGCAGTGCAAATCTGTGCTTCCGCAACCACAAAAATCTTTTCTGTTGCTGTCTGAAACTGTTGAAAATTGGCTTTTGTCACTTCACGCATTTTTGTAATGATATTTATAGTTTAGTCAGTTTTATGTCATAATTTTACTACAGTTATAAGAACAACTGTAGAAGCTATCACAGGCAGTATTTTTTTGAAAGGTAGACAAGTAAAAGCACAAAATCAGCTGCCAGTCAGCAGTGTTTGGGCAAACTCCTTCCAAGCTCTCTCTGGGCAGGTTACAGGGGACTCAACTGAACACACAAGGCAGCTCACTGAGGCTCATTTGCAAAGAGTTGAAAACAGTATAAGAAAATGCAGCTTGTATAATTACATAAAGTACCAAGACCTCTTTAAACATTTTATCATAGGCTTTTATTAATAACATGCCAGAAAAGGCTGACATCAAAGAGTTACATGAGACTCTAATGCTAACGAATTGATTTCATTTCTAATTTGACTTTCCCAAAAGTACATACATTATTCACTAAATGTATAATTTTAATGTCAAAGTTGTGAATGCTGTACTTTCACATTTAGATGAAGGTAATTCAAGGACTACCAGTAAGAAGATCTAAAACCATTCTCACACCTATGTTACTCATTAGAAGCTTATGCTTTTAATTACCTGTGTGACCAAACAGAAAATAGCATGAAGTGTGAACAGTAGGTTTCCAACACGGACTTAGATTCTACAGCCACAGTCATCAGGTCAGTAAAATAATAAGTGATAGGTTATGAGTTTAGCACACAGAGTCAGACGACATACTGAATTATTGAAGAGATATTAAAGGCAGGCAGAGGCAGTTGGTAATGTCCAACTGAGATCCACTGAGAAGCTGTAAAAGCAGGAGGCTGGATGCATCAAGCTTCCATGGGCTGTAGATATGCCTTGTGCATCCTGGATAGCAGTGCGCTGCGTGAAGCTAAGCTACTTGAAGATTGATGATCCTGTGTTTTGAGAGGCTTTAATATGCACTTCATCATCATCTATCTCTGTTAAGCACTAGGCAAGTAATACATTCCAAAGGTTAACCAGCATCTTGAACCTGCCTAGAACTGCATTATGAATGTAAACAAGAACTCAAAATATAGTAAAAGTTGCTTATAAACCCAATACAAAGGATAATCTATATAATTCATAAAAATTACATAAGCTAGTGTTTACATCTCTATATTTACTGATTTCAGCTGAAGTTCTATATGTACCACTGCATAAAGTTTAGAAATAGATAAATATTCACGTCTCCATGACAATTCTGAAGTTACATGTAAAAAGGTATATACAAGAAAATGAGAACATTTGGAGTTGCTTCACATTAAAAAGAAGCATTCCACCCTGTTTCATACAGCATCTTGCAGATCACTGTTGCCATGGGTTTCCTGTTTTGAAGTGAGGGACACTGGTGATCATAGAAAACTACGCAAGTATTTATATTGCACTGAAGCTGCAAGTCTAAAATCAGAGTTGCTGATGAAATACAATTTTGAATCTCAGCTATGATAAAAGGTCATCACAAATGAATTTGACATTGATAATACTATATTTTGGGGGAACTTTCCATGTGTGGTCTTTTCAAGAAAACGTATTATAAGTATATACACATCTAAGAAGAGACTGAAATAACATCCTACCTATTAGTAGATATGCCTCTGCTAACAAATAAATGTCTGGCTTTATGCTGTCATTCTAGCAGATATCTATACATATACAATGTAAGCATCATTCACCTAGTACCACTTGAGTCCTACACTTTACCATCTTTCAGCCTCACAAGTTTTTCCCTTAATTAGCTTAAAGTAAGTTTGTAAACAAAACTCCCCTTGCCCCACTTGGTCTTTGCAGAGGTCCTTTGGACTTGCTCTTGATAGACCCACTTTCAGCTCTCTCCTGGGATACAGCCCACCATGCAAGACTCAAGCTAAATCCTTGTGGAAATCTTTCTTTCCACCATTTCCCAGCCCCGATAGTATCTTTACTCTCGTTGCCAGAGCCTCCTACGGTCAGCTCACACTTAAGCCTCTCCAGTTGTTGCACATCCCATTTTCTTTCTTCCTGTCCCACCTGGTGCCCCTGTGGTTTATTCTGCCAAGGGAAGGAGCATCTCCCTGCCTGACCCCGAGCACAGCCAGGACAAAGGCAACAGCCAACTTACCTGCCTCCTGCCTATACTGTATCTTAGGATATAACACATCAGAAACTGCAAATCAAAAGCTATCTAAAACAGATGCTATCTGGCACCATCACATCTACTTTTTGTGCCTTTTGTATCAAGAATTATAAACACAGCAAGTTTTGGAACCAGACTCACTGTCAGTTATCCAAGCAATTAAGAAACAGCAGCTCCCACACGCCTCTGTCTGGCTTTTCCCGGACAGCAGACAGATCTGTATCAAAAACATGCATGTGCCTGTAAATAGGTGCTTAGAGGAGGAATCACAACCCTAATGAAAACCCTACTGCCATAATCAACAGATGTATGATGTATCCTTTTAAAAATCTTTAATATTACAGTAATCAGGCTCTCTTTTCTTCTCAAAATAACACAGATTTTGATTTACATTGAGGAGAACGGAGAGAAAAATTGGACACCTGCAGAGGGATTTGACTTAAAATTCTGATTTACTAAGAAAAGTAACTAGCTGTGAAAATCTCTGCATCAAGCAATTATTTCTTTATTTGGAAAGCAGTTTTCTTCTGAAAGGCAAATTCCACCTGGATGTGCTATCATGAGGTAAACCAAGGACATTTAGAAGATCAAGAAAGTTTCTGAGAACCCAGATGAATATTATTGCAGACGTTTTTCAGAAATAACTATTTGAGCCAACTCCCAAACTTGCAGGGTTTCTTTTATCTCTATAGAAACACCAATTCCTATTATATCAAAAGATACAGCTTTTAATGTACAGCCACTACAGACAGAATGATTTTTTTTCAAAATTGAAATGAAGTAGTTAAAAGATCATTTCATTTTTACAGCACAGAGGAAAATCTAAAGCATCTCTTCCAGTGTACTTTGACATACCCTGATGTGTTCAGTGTAAAATTTCCCCACTTCCCTTTTGCTGAGATGAGATGACTCAGCCAGGGCTTCTCACCCAGGCCTCGCTGTGCCACCAGACAGGGATGTAGCTGTCCATAAAGCACACATGCCATCTGTCATGTATTTAGGCTACTTACATGGAGATGAAACAACACAATGGCATCGAAAAGAAAGTTCTTAAAATTCATCTTAGTTAGTTTAACAGAATTAGGGACTTCAAGGAGTTACTCTTAAACGGATCTGTACAAAATTCACGTGTCTTGTAAGAGTCAAGTTTGTGCACAGGTACACAGTAGTAGATTCTTGCAAATATTATTTTAAAAAAAGTTTACGTAGGTGTCAAAGCAAGTCAAGCCATTGTTCTACCAAAAAAAAAAAAACGCAAACCAAAACCAAAATCAAAGTAAACAAAAAAAAATCAACAACTTTTTTTTTATTATTGTTCTGAGTTCAAATTAACAACACAAAAACTCTTAACCGCTCAAAATGGACTATTAACGCTAGCAGTTCTGCAAATAGAAAGGTCCATTTCACAGTTCACCTGCATAGCGTTAATAAAATACATATAAGAAGTTGCCAATTGGTTTGTATTTTTGTAGAAAATTTCCCTATCACCTCTTAGGATTACAAAATCCTCAGAGCTAAGAAATGTTAGCATTACGCTTGCCATCAGAACCTTATTCAATACATATGAACCCAAACAGACCCTTTAATTACATTTTCTCAGATTATTTCTGAGTGAAACTGCCTTGTTTCATTTCCAAAGCTCAAAACCAGCTATGCCTTCCCTATCTTACTGGACATTTCATTTTTCATTACCGAAACATCAGCTCCTGCCTCTGATTAATTCACAATTACTGCCAGTCACTACTTCATCTTCAAAGAAGCACTTTCCCACTCATCTCTGCTGTTCAATACACCTGTAATGAACTCCCCAAAAACATAAGCAGAACTTCTTCACATTCCCTCATCTTCTCTGGATGATTACCTGCAGAAAACTCAACAGTAGCTAGAGAGTCTGAATAAAGTTAGTCCAGTCACTTATATTCCTACACGTTTCATTTGTACAGACTTTATTTCTAGGTGCCTGGTCCAAGTAAGTGTCGATTACAATCTACTCCAGCCCAACACAACGGGAAATGGGTTCTGAAGGCATGTAAAAGTTCGGTATAAATCTGTCTTCTCTGAACACTTAATCCTATCTCTCAAATTGGATAGCCACAGCTCCATTCTACCAATAACTGAAAAAAATGGGAGTAAAGATGTTTGGGTTTGGTTCAGGTTTTTTTCAATTCAGAGAGACATAATAATTATTTCATTAATGTCCAGAAGGTGACTGGGTACTTTAGTGATGATGAAAGAGAATAACTCTGCTTTCAAATGACTTGAGCACTCCACAGCAAAGCTGCCAACACTGATCAACACAAGAGAAAAAAAATGACTGGTCATTTACATAAACAGCAGCTATCCTGTGCACTGAATAAATCCAAATTAATACTAAAGAAAGAGAAGCTGTAAGTAAAAGTTACTGCTATACATGTGTGTATGGAGTTGTGCTACGGTTTCACCACTGACCTCCCTTCTGCACATCTTCCTCATCCACTTCTGCAACCCACAGTGTTATCTTCACAGTGTTATATAGTGATAGGACAAGGGGTAATGGCTTTAAATCGAAAGAGGGAAGATTTAGATTAGATATAAGAAAGAAATTTTTCACTGTGAGGGTGGTGAGGCACTGAAACAGGTTGCCGAGAGAAGCTGTGGATGCCCCCTCCCTGGAAGCGGTCCAAGGCCAGGTTGGATGGGGCTTTGAGCAACCTGGTTTAGTGGAAGGTGTCCCTGCCCATGGCAGCGGGGTGGGAACTAGATGGTCTTTAAGGTCCCTTCCAACCAAACCATTCTATGATTCTATGATATCCATTCCTCTTGTGTCTCTACCTGCATCTCCAACACCAATTACAGGCTCCCTCTCCCAAACCTGCATCTTCCTGTCCTGACTTTGCTGTCAACTTACAC